GTAAGCCTGGAGTCCACCCGCTGACATCTGTCCGCGGCGCAGCCCTGGGTGTTCACTGATGTCTGAAATAGTACGGGCCACAGAGGTGTCGGGAATATCGGGATTTCGATTGCAAGGCTTCGCAGGGATTGATACCCAGGGATATGTTCTCTTCGTGGTTGAGGACGTATTCCGAATTCGGAATGCCTATCGTATCCCGACGCGGTGTTGATGCGCTCCCAAGGCGGGATGATGGCTTGATCCTTGCACGCACGCTGTCCGACGAGAGCTGCCACCAACTGGTCTGCCTGAGCAAGCGCGCGTCTAGCCTGGTGAGCCTAATCATCGTCATCTCGTCGGCTGTCCTGTGTCGGCACACTTTAGGCCCTGCATTCAGTAGGATCGAGCGGCGGAGGCAGTCCTCGCATCCGTTATGGTCGAGATATCGTAGGTAGTTTAAGGTTGGAGATTGCACAGCGACGCTATCGGCCGCGTGTGTTCCTTACCACCTATACAGCTTGACGTCAGGTTCATTCACGCTAGTTGATAGGAGTACACCAGCCTGGATGGAATCCGCGGACTTAAGGCGAAGGTAAAGACGGGCTAAGGCTGGTCCACTAGTGCGAGGTTCGTGAAGAGTTCCTGGCGGCAGACGCGAGCTGGGGGTGCTCCACCTACTCGAAGAGCGCAATGCCCTGCGCTTCGTGAAGGGAGGCTATCGACGAGTCCTGGATAGCCCGAGTCGAGGTGTGCCGTCATACTCTCCTCTTGACTCACTTGCCTATTCCCGCAGGCAGACAGACGGGTTGACCTCAGTATGTTTGCGAACGTCTATCGATCGGCACACCGGCCTGTTAACGTTGTCATTGACGTCCTAGATACGCCCAACAAACATATTGCGATATCAAAGTAGCTACTAATAAGCTTACATCGAACTGTTCGAATTCCTTGCGCCACTGCACGACATCTTCACTCAATAGACTCGGCGATGCTTTCGAATCGGACGCGTCATGCTGTGAGTCCCGCTGACTTCGCGTACTCTTCGAAGGCACTAACACTGGCCCTGAGACAGTCTCGGCGCGAGTCTATGGCTATACTCCTAAGATATGTTGTCCTGGCATGCTTCTCTGATCCCGCATCCCCGCTAGGGAGGTCATTCGTTGACACCAACAAAGGGCCAGCAAGATGCGAGATGACTCCCATCTCCCCTTTCCCTTTGCGAGACAAGGTGAACAAGGTACTGTATGTAGATCTACCGTTCATTAGCGTCTGATGCGCTGATGCTGCTAGGCCTCGCAAAGTTTCTGTGTAAGTAGCCGTCCCCGAGTCCGTGAAGAGCTAGAAAGCATAAATCACCGTCGATTGGGATCGTGCTTCTGCCTGATTCAATGCAGCGCCTATGACGTTCCACTACCTTCTAGCACGCGGGTATATGCGACATTCCACACGTCGCGAAGGAGGGCGACAGAGATATCTTCACCTTCTTGCTCCACCCCCAGTAAGCAAGAGCGAAGTGCCCGGTGATGGTGAACGCTGGCCCATGGCCACACGCCCGAGACATTCCGAAATTTCCAGAGCTACCGACCGGTTATTGCGAACGCCCCCATGAGCGCTGCGAATAATCCTATCAGACTGTGAATTTAAATTTGCGTTCGCACTACACCTCATACGCGCTCCACAGCTCAATACATTCGCCCATCAGTATCCCACGTGCGGAGTCAGTAGACCTCACTTCGATCGTTCCAGTCGGTCACTGTCGGTGTGTCTGAGTCCAGTCTGAGCTAAGTTAGCGACTTACGGATGGGACCCATCTGTCGTAGGTTTCGTGGTTGTGGGTGGGAATGGTCGGGCCTGATTCCCCCGAAAGGGCGTGCTACCCAGGCCCTTTCTCTCGCTCTCGCTGTCTGGTCGCTCTCGGGTAGTATCTTCAGTCTGCGGGTGTTGTGCTGACTGTCTGGCGGTCCCACCTATTAGTTCACGCATGTCGCTCGACATCTTCGGTGCGCGGCAGAGCGTTCCTACTTGGATTGCATGTTACCCAGGTTAGGGTTGCCCTCGTGGAGCGACGAAGATCTCTCTCCACTCCGGCAATGGACGCGAGCCCATGAGGCGAGGGGCAGATCCCCACCCGCCACTCTAATCAGTACTCTACCTACCAGGACGTTCTCGCTGTTCGCATCGATGAAGAAGGCTTCTTCTTGTTTAGTGCCAACGTTAACTCCAGTGTGGCGCGGTCCTTACCGATCCCGCTCCAAGGAAGTCCTTGGGCTGGAGACGTCGCGCAGAGTGCAGTTAGATGCGGACAGTTTCCACTTGGGCGGGATTCGACCTCCCCAAGCCACCTTCGAAGGCTCGGAGCTCCTATCCTAATCTGTACAGGGATCGGTACTTGGTTTGCATCAGAGCGCCCGCCTCGTGTCATCTGCGCTGCGAGAGGACCCCGCTGGGTTCGGGGAACGAGAATCGATTCAGCTATCTACGCACGCACCTGTCTTAACTTGGAGGATAAGTATCGGGGATGCATCCTCCCTGAACGCTCCAGTGTCAAAGTTTGGTCAAAGTGGACCCGCCTGTGATCGATTATCTTCCAGGCAAGTCAAGGTAAGTAGCCATGATGTTATGGGCCACTGTATCTTCGTCCGAAGGTTGATCTGATCTCTCTTCAGTTTGACATAGATCATTGTCCTACTCAGGGTATTGCCACGCCGCAAGGGGTGCTTCAGTGTAGGATGATTCGAAGCGCTAGTCTGAATCTAATTTCTTTGTTGATATGCGTACCGTCCTAGGTTATACTATCTTTAACAACTCTAGCGTCAGAGTGGCTCCGTCATCAATCAAGTTGTATCAGTTCAGGACCACCTTTAGTTCCGGACTTCCTGGGTGGAACGAGTGTAGGCCGTGATGGGTTCCCCTGACATTGCATGTATAGTGATCCCTTTCATGCACAGCTGAGGTAGACAACATCTGGTCTGCATGACATCCACGAGGAAGGAAGGAGTATGATACACTGTTGTACAGAGGGAAAGACATAAATGCAAGAAAGATGACGCTACATAGGAAGTACCGGCCAGGAGCTCAAGACGCCTGCGGCGCCGCCAATTGCTTCCTCATCTCCTCGAACCGGCGGCCTTCGGATTGCGCTTTATCGATGCTCTTCGCCAGTTTTTCCTCCCTGACTTGTAACCGCTGCTCCATGCCGAGGATAAGCAAACGGACCTGCTCGATGTGTGCCATCGTCTCATTCACTGCTGCAGGGGAGGGTGCAGTCTTTTCTGGCTGCGTGGAGACAGGAGCGTTGCTGGTAGACCCAGGACGGGTGTGCGCGTTTGAGGACGGGATATTCAGAGTGTGCTATTGGAGAGTATTGATTAACAAGGATAACTGACTCTACGCACCAGCCTCCTCACCTGCCAGTTCACGCCAGCTAGTTTCTCCAGTTCCTTCTCTAACATCTTCTCCCTATTCTTGCCTCTGGTACCGTGCCGCCAGTCGGTCAAACCAGACATTAGCCACACAGACGAGCAACGACTGACCTCTCCAATTCAGCCATACAGCGCTCATTTTCGCGCTGCGTCCCTTGTAGGAGTAGATCCAAGTTCTTGTATTCCTTCTGTAGTTCCTGTACCGCTTCGAGCGGTGGCCGCGCTTGCAATTGCGCCTGCAATGACTGTATCTGCGCGTGAAGCTACACGTACGTCAGCTTATATCTGACACCCCCAATCGTAGGACGAGACGTACCTTGTCCAGTTCTCTGTCTTTCTCTAGTAATTGCCGCCTTAACACATCTTCGTTCGATTCGTCCGGGCTCTCCTTCAACATGCCGAGGTCATCCGCACCCAGAGCCAGCGACGGCCTCGCGTAATGTCGGACACTTTGAGCTCTGCGCATAGCTTAGTCGCTTTCGTAAAGTAAGCACGATATGTGGAAGGGCAGAGCCGTTCAGTGCTAAATATGGTGCAGGACAGTTGCATTCAGGAGGCCAAACCCTAAACGCGTGTCGCGAAGCAGCCACGTGACGAAACCCTAACGAGAGGTACATTGACCACGTGGACCGGTAACTCGGGTACTAAAGTAACACATCGAGCAACCGATAATATGACACGCGGTGGCATTCAGTCCCATATGTCAATACAATATTGTGAATTCCACACAACCACCATATACAGTCATATACTCCCCATATGGGAGCTGAGCCACAGACGATCCCCTACAACGGTAATGTCAGGGAATATCAAATAGAAACAAATGCATTACCATATTTGAATATCAATTTCCGCAGATATACCCAGTGATAGAGCAAATATGGATAAATATATGGAACAATGGGGAAGTCCGGTTTTTGGCCTGATACAGTACAATGAATCATAGCTAAAATATCAAAGCACATCTCGGGTTGATAGCGAATCCGGAATATGGATGCAAATAGCGTAACACATAGCATAAAGGTGCGATATACCTGATTCGGGATCGTCCGGTATATAATCGGGCCGCCGACGGGCCGCCAGTGGCTGCATCGGCAAGCCACTCAATAGCCGGCGGCGGCCACCGGCGGCTAAGAGCGG